AAAAAAATTGTTAAAGCCAGTCCCCAGTTCTCCTCACCACTTGACCCAGTATGGGTTCAATCTGGGATGAGAGAAGAGAAACACAAAGTTGAGGTGTAGGGAAGCCACAGTACCACCTTCTGCAAGTCTTAGAATCTACCCTAAAATTAGGATAGAATTAGTAATCTATAAATTACATTTTAATGGGTATATCTATAAATAAAGTCTATATATATGATCTATAAAATCCTCAAATGATTATATTTCTTTGGTTAATGGGTTGGATGAATAACAAATCATTTAAGAAACCAGAGTCCCTGTATAATGTCCAGACAACCTAATTTTATACTTTATGGTTACTGTACTACTTTCTATTAAGCTAAAATTTTTCCTTATTTCCTCAATGCATTTTTTCCCTTTGTGATAAATGTTTCTATGCTGCATAGAACAACAAATGCATACTGCCATCAAATTTAAGAACAGCAGGAACAAGTGCCAAGCAAAACGTCATTTCTTTATATAAGGCAAAAAAAACTATAATATATAAAACAATATATAATTAATATTGTTCAAATCTAAAATAATTTGGTAAAAATTCTTTACTGAATGGCTAGCAGGGCCCCAAAATCTATTTTGAAGCAACTGTTTTATAGAAAAGGTTTCTGACAACTAGAAAAATACATGACTAAACTATGTGTGTGGTAGAGAGGAAGTCAGCTTGTGCAAGTGTGCATCAGTTTGTGTGTACATACTATAAACTTGGGCCACAGAAAACAAGTACTGCAGCCACTCTGCAATAGTAATTCCTCTTGAAATTGTGTGTATATGTATGCATGTAAGGGAGGAGGATGTTCAAATGTATATGTGTATGTCCAGTTTGTGGGTATGGGCACATGCATGCCACTGTATACACATGAAGGTCAGACAAACTTTGAGTAATGGTCCTCACCTTTCTACTTGTTTGAGACAGGGCCTGTATGCTGCTGGGTATGCCAGAGTATCTGGCCCATGAGCTTCTGGAGATTCTCCTGTCTTCAACTCCCATCTTCCTATGCAGGTAAACTGGGATTAAAGATGCTTATGCTACTGCCTAACTTTTACATGAGTTTTGGGGATCCAAAATCAGGTTTTCAGACTTTTATGCCAAGCACTTCTGTCCACTGAGCCATCGTCCCAGGCCTTAAAATAATTTTTACATATAAATGTTAAGAGTAGGTATGGTGGTGCAAGTCTATAATCCCAGCCACTCCAGAGCCTAAGGGAGAACTGCTTGAGCTTAGCACAGAGTGAACGTAGGCAACACAGTGAGTGCCCTACCTCGAAGAGGTGCATAGTTCAGTGTTACTGCACTTGCCTAGGATGCATGTGACCCTGGGCTCTCTCCTCAGTGCCAAGAAAGGGGAAAAAGGTACCAGAACTCTCATCTGGCATAGACATATATAGTTAACGATCCTGAATCCTGAGCAGAATACTCATTATACTTTCTTTTCAGTTTCATTTGAGAATTGGAATTTGGTAACTGACCACAGGAATTTCACTAGGTTGGTATTATTTATTCCATTAAGCAAAGAATCATCAAGAGGTAAGACAAGCAGGTATTAAATACAGGAGGGAACACTAGGGGGAAAAGGTTTACTTTTTCTTTTTCCTACCACAGAGAAACCCCTAAAGCAGAAAAAAAAAATTTAAGTCTTGAAAGCTAATGCATAGTCATAGTTCAAGCACTCTTCCATTAGCCCTCTGTTGAAGAAACAAAGAGAATTTGGGAAGAAGTTCCTTTATAACCAAGAGTAGTCTGTCTCAGGCTCTGGAGATTCCTACAGTTTGTATAACTATCAGGTCAATTGCTATGCCTCAATATTTTTTCTACTGTGCTCTCAGCTTTCCTGCTCTATTCTTTTGGTGTAGTTAATAGCTCCTTGAATCATAACTACATAATATAGTCCTGTATCAATAAAAAGAAACCATGATGCAGTGGTCCCATAAGTGTCCCTAGAGAACTGTAGCCATCATATTCTTTTTAAGTACACTCCACAATGTTCATCCAACAACAAAATAGCCTAACAGTGTTATCTGTCAGAACATAGTCCCATCATTAAGTGACAAAATGACCATATGTTCATTGCAAATGGCAGTGCTTGAGCTGAAGGCTACAGCTCAGTGGCAGAGCACTTGCCTAGCATATGAAAGGCTCTGGGCCCAAGATCTACCACCACAAGCAAAAAGGGAGGAAACGGGTCCACTTGGCTCACCAGCATCATTTGAACTTCAGTACTATTTCTGAAGTTGGCCAACCAAGTATCTCTAGCTCACAGGTGATATCAATTTGATATGAACTCTTAATTGACAAAGACCTGCTGCACATTACCACGGCATACACATTCTAAAATGGCACAGGATACATCCTTCAGCTGTCAACCACCTACAGACTACTGCGAACAAGAATAAAGGCTGAAGGGGAAAAAGAGAGGAACGGAGGTATGATACAATGTAGAGAGGTATCTCTACAAATTATAAGAAAGTCACAAAAAAGAAATTGTTAGGGGAAGGTGTTGTATGACTTTTCCTGAGGAGAAGTGAATGAACATCTATTCACCTCAGATACAATATTCAGCATTAACAGATGGAAGAAATGGTTTAACCTAAGTCTAGCTTGATGAACCAATGAATTTAACTGGGGTTACTTATAGGAACATGCATGAGGGATTGCTTACAGCAGCATAAGCAATTTACAGGCAACACTACCCACAAAAAAAAGAATCTCCTCCAGTAACTGTTAAGCACTTATATAACCTTGAGGATGACAGGGCCTGCTGAGCCATCTTACACAATGTCTGATAAGCCCTCCTCATCACTCCAAGAAGGAATGTTAGTGAGCCCTTATAATTTTTATAAGGGTTTCATGTGGATAATCATGCTGCTTGGACATCAAGACAGCAATAACCATGTCTAGAGTTCCACAAAAGAATGCTTCACAGAGAAAACTTGAACCAAACTGTCAAGCAAAGGAGGGGGGGGTGTAAAAGAAAAAACAAATGTGGTGGCACATGCCTGTAACCTAAGCACATGGAGGTTGAGACAGAAGGAACAGGAGTTCAAGGCCAGCCTCAGCTATATAGCAAGTCCAAGACCAGCTTGGGCGGCTACATGAGACCCAATCTTTAAAAAAAGGATTTGAGGCTAGAGAAGTAAAACTCAGTAGTAGAGTACATACCCAATATGCAAAGCCCTGGATATGATAACCTAGCTTCAAAATAAGAGTCAGACTTAAAAACAGAAAGAGAAAAGGAAGACTATGCATACTTTGTGTCTATGGATCAGAGGTTGGGGGAAACAACTGGTCAAGCACCTTGACCTTTAATGTCTTGTTCAATATTATTCTTCACTACAGTACCATCTATTATATAATCCTTTAGGTTTCTAGAGTGAAGCTTTTTGGTGCAAAGAGAAAAAACATGAAGGCATCTTATCCAAATATACTTATTAGATCTTTCTAGGAGTCATGACTGGGACCTGTCTCTTATGTGAGAAAACATGTTCAAGGTCCAGAAGGAAACACAGTGGAGCCTGGAGAAAACAAGCATGGGATGGTGGCTTACACAGTGGTCTAAACATTAAGAGCAAAGGATTGGTCTATTTCTGTGTTTTCTTTGGTTAGTATTCCTGGGCATTTCTAATCACCCTGTAAGTTAACACACAAGAACCCAAATTTGAATACAGCCGGCTTTTTATAGTCTAGTTTACTACAAGCTACCTATTTAAGCCAGAAGGAATCTTCACACAATTCACATCCCTAAGTTACCAAGAGGAAGGGCTCAGAGCCAACCTAATAGAATGAATGCATTTGCCTGGGTTCCTCTAGTCAGAGCTATCTGCCAAGACCTGGTGAAATTTCTGTGGCTATGGTAATAACTCGTTAATGATTTGCATCATAGTCACTCTGTCTTCTGTGGTCCCGCCTTCTGGCTATCACTCACTACACTGAGGACATGGCAAACAACAAGGTACTGGAAAGAATATGTATTTGAAAAGAAATTACAAAATATGTCTAAGAAAAAAAGAAATACATGGTAAGCAATGAAAATCACTCTGGTAACATTTTTTGGTCAGGCTTTAGTTGAATTGCTTTTATGATGAATCACCCAAAACACTAAACTGGTTTTAAAACCACAACAGGAAATATTATCTTGTTTTGCCTGCGTTTTTTTTTTTATTGTTTATTATTTAGTTAATTGGTTGGTTTGTAGGGCTGGAGGTTGAACATGCTAGTCAGGTGTTCTGTCATGGAGAAACACCCACCAGCTCCTATCTCTAATTCTTAATCTGTATTTATTAAGCATTATAATGAGTTTTTGATGTTGGGCATACAATAATATTCACCTTTTAAAAATTCTTAAAGTGAGTTTATACTGAAATATGTTTTATACAACTATTAAAATGGACTAATTCTTCTTGTAAAATATATGATACTGCAACTTAAAAAAATTCAGATAACATGGTGTTCTTGTTTCTTAATTTTTTGTATCAGGAGTCAAAAGATAATGACATATTGTCAACAAAGTATATAATAAAGCACACCATTTATAGAATAAAGGCTATTACACAAGGGGAGGGTTAAATAAAGCACATTAGTTGGCTCTCCAATCAGTAACAAAATTTCTACATTTATAAAAATCCAGCTAATTTTATCTCATAACAATTTATATAGCATGGCTTACATTTCTGTTTCATCAAATACAATATTACAAAAATACCCATTCATTCAACAAATACTTAACTAAGCACCTAATATGCACCAGGTACTGTTACAGGCACAAAGAACAGAGCAGTGAACAAAGTAAGACAAAAATATCTACCCCTTGAGGAATACGAGACACATCACAAAGTTACCTGACAACAAAATAAAGAGGAATAATTTTTTGGTTTTAAAAGGCCAAGTGCCAAATATCTCTTTACTCCCCATATGTAATATTTACATAAGACCAAAGAATGGAAATCCAGCCCTGGAATCTCTTACCTTAAATCTAAGCAACCACTTAATGCATAAATGGAGCAAATAAAAGAGGTAAGGAAAAAAAGCATTGAAAGGTTAGTTGGAACTTCAGGATGTGAAGACAAAGGAAAGAAAACAAAGAAAAACAAGTTAAGCAATCAGCATTAACAAAATAATGTTTCAGTAGATCATAGAAAGAGTGGTTAAAGCAGAATGTGTCATGAACAGGAGTTTCTTTGATGATAGTATTTAAGACGTTGTATTCAAAACTTTAATTTCATTAGCATTCTTCAAATTAGTGAACATTAAACACTAAAATAAATAGAAACTATACAGTCTTAAAAGAAAAATATTTTACTTTAAGGATTAAACAAGAATTACAGGAGGGGTTCACTTTTTATTAAACAAACAAGCACACACAAATGTTATTTTTTTTTAAAATATATGTATCAAGTATCTTTTGGCATTAGATTCTGGTAGCACCTTAAAATATTCTATTAGCAATTGTTAACCTTCAATAAAATTTCCCCAAGTTAGAATAAAGTATTGTTAGTAGTTAACCATTAATTACACATCTTATTTTAACATTTCCTAATTAGTAATCTAAGTATATGTAGGACTCAAATATAAAAGTAAATGTAAAATTCCAGATAACAGTGCTTATTCAAAACTTTAAGAAAAAAATTATTTACAAAATAAATTTATACTGTTTATTTTTACATAGATCAACATTAAATTTATAATTAACTCACTTCTAGCCAAAATGGTGGTATATATTTTATTTAAATAGGTTTGTTTGTATTACAGTTTCATTTGCATGAACTGTACAGCTTCACTACAGGAATATATGAGTATTTATTTTAAGTCATACTTGTTAAGTCATTATCTTTCCAATCACTGTTGAGATGTAAATTTTAAATAATTTAACACTTAGCTGAGGCTCTAAATGGTTTCTCAAGTGCAACACCAATTTAAATAAAATGTACTTCTTTCTTAGAGGTAGTTTGTGGCTCTTTTTGTTGCTGTTGTTGTTTTGAAGTGCTAGTGCTGGAGCCTGGGGCTTTGTGACACATACTCCACCACTGAGCCACACTCCAATCCTCCATAGTTCTGATTATGGTACATCAAATACATAGTAAACATTCAAATACATCTTAAAAGACAGCCAAAATAAATGAGTTACATACTCAAAGCAGTGGAAATAAGTACTAATTAACATCTTCATCTACACTATTTTCACCCAAAATATTGAGACAAAATTATTCTAGAAAAAAAAAAAAATCAAACTTCATGTTTGGTAATATATGCTGTTTCTGAACTAATGCCAAAAGTCTGCTGATAAAATTTTGAGATAAGATAACATTTAATAACCTGAATGTTTTATCAATCAGTCACACTGTCAAAAGATTAGAGAGATTATACCACACTCTATTTAATAATCTTTATAGGGTATTTTCATAACTAAGTAAATGCAATTCATTCAAAGATGAATTCAAAGACAACTGCTCAAAATCTAAATACACAGCACTAAAGAAATTAGGATAAAATAGCTAACGGTAGTAAACAATCTTCACAACCACACCAGCCCAAGACTTGGTACTTTAGGAAAAATAAAACATTAACTTTCTAACTACTACTTTTGAAAGCTTGGCCAAAAACTATACCTACCTTTACTCCATGTCCAATGTCATCTAGAATTGTGTAGTCAATAGGTTTTCGAATATAACGAACAGGTCGCTCAAGGTTAGCTGGAGCAATAATCTTATGTGTTCTTGAAGTGTTTTTATTGGTGGTCAAAATACCAATTTCTCTTCTTGCAACTTTCTCTTTATGAATATCAACTGTCTGCAAGATACAAAAGAAACAAGACGACACAAAAATGTGTAGCTCTGGTATCCAGGAAAATAAAGAGATGTAAAACTGCTTCATGTTTGTTTGGTAAATCATCTTTCTGGATTACCAACTTTCTTCATTTTTAGGCTAATACACAGGTCAAATCTGGCCTACCACCTGATTTTTACAACCCACAAGCTAAGAACAGTGTTTCTCTAAGTGTGTGTAAGTGTGAGGTGCACATGTGTAAGTGCATTTATTCATGCAGGTTCATGTATGTGCACATGCTATGGATGTGGAAAACAGAGGTCAACCTTGGGTGTCATTCCTCAAGAGCTGTTCACCTTGTTTTTAGACTGGGTCTCTTCCTAGGACCTATAGCTCACTAATCAAGCTAGGCTGGCTGGCAGTGAGTGCTTGTCTCTGCCTCCCAGCATTGGGATTACAAATGAACACATTACACCCAGCTTTTTCCATGGGCTCTGGGTATCAAACTCAGGCCCTCATGCTTGCTCGGTAAACACTTTACCACTTCCCCAAGCCATCATTATCTTCTCTATGTATTTTATTTATTATTTTTATTTTATGTGTATGAGTGTATTGTCTGCATTTGTGATTTCATGCAATGCCCACAGAGGCCAGAAGAGGGCATCGGATTCCCTGGAACTGGACAGTTGCTAGCCGCCATGTGGATGTTGGGATTCAAACCTGGGTCCTCTACAAGTGCAGCCAAGTGCCCTTATCCACTGACCATCTCTCCAGCCACCATTCTTTCTTTTCTTTTTTTTTTTTTTTTTTTTTTTTGTTTTTTTTATATAGGGTCTCCTTGACCCCCCAGGGGGCTTTTTAGTACTTCTTTTGTAGACCAGACTA